GTAGAATTCTGGGTCATCTAATGCCAACAGACGGGTACTCCAGCTAGTAAGGTATAAAGTCTCAATGTTGCTTCGTAACTATTGATGATTAGCTATGTAACTGGATGCTTGAAGGATTGTAGGCATGGTGAGTGAAATGTAAATAACTGATTCTAGTGGTAATGCTATGGTTTTATCCATCAATCCACAGCCAAAAGCAAATACATGACTGCCAACACACCTGAGCTCAATGGTCGAGGACTAAGGACTATGCTGATAATCTGAAACCAACACAAAATCAACTCTGTGGGTTGTTGAGTGAATACATAAATGTATTTGTGTAACCAGATGGCTAGTTAAGTCAATCAATGGCGATTCAGTGACACACAGATATAGGCAAAGCAAGTCTTACAAAGCATTTGATGTGGCAGCTTTCTTAAAGCACCAGGGAGATTGCAAGCATTGAAATACAATGGATGTTGCAGGACAGGGTCATACAATCTTTGAAGAGTGCTTGGTCGTTTCCAGTAATGATTGCACAGGCCTGCGATGGTTTTATTGTCTTGAAATTTTTACGTGTTCTACAGTAATTCCTTTGAATTCGAAAATGATATCCATTACAGATTTTTCACCAAACTTCATATGTACTTTTACATTAGTGAATCATTTTCATTGAAATCGGGTCACATTTTGTAATGCTTAAAATGTTGATAACCACTGGCTATAGATTTCTCTAGACCAATCGCGATGTGAGAGTCTTATCGATGGTTCAAGAACCCAAACATAACAATAAATAATGTTCATTGTGGTAAATGAAATAATAATTTCCAAGTAAGTTTTTCTTCCCGATTTGTAAAAAAATCCTTACATGTTAGAAAAAAATGAATATCATTTTCGAAATCTGCATTATTAAAACCAAACCATCTTTTATGAAGTTTAAATTCGCAGGCCTTTATTGTCAAAAAGAAAAAAGGTATGTTAAGGTTCTGTGTTGAGTTTAAACAGTGAAAGTGGTAAATTGTATTGGTAATTTTTTAATTACAAACAGATAAATACCTGGATGTGCTAGAAGGTTTCTATTGGTTAAATACTCTGGATCTGATATACAGATACTGAAAAGTCGAGCTGGACGAAGAAAGCAGGTATAAACTTTTTTTAGCACAAGAGAAAATTTGTATGAATTTCACATCATGACATTCGGTCTATGCAATGCATAAACTGCTTTTAGACAGCTAATGCATCATACACCCAAGATACTTCAATGGGAATCATGTCTGGTCTAAATCACTGATGTTTGGCTGGACTTTTTTAGTCTGTGTCTGAGAATCTGTAGATGGTATTCCAGCGCATACGAAAATTCGGCCCTGAAACTGCAAAATGTTCAGTTATATGAGCAGAAGTGGAGTTTCTCGGACAAATTATTGGGAAAAATGGAATTGGCTAAGATATATATGCACCGGCTGATTGGCCTAGACTCATGATGAAGTGTGAAAATTTCAGTTATAAACTACTAGAATACTTGGTGAAGCTTAATGTAGATAGCAAAAACTTGTGTAAACAAATACACTTGTGGGGTTTCACGTGCATGTTAAAAACGCTAGACAGAGTCCTTAATAATGGGTTTTAAAGCAAACTTACACAAAGAGTGTATTGATTAACGAGAAGAAGGGCATGGAAAATACTATTGGAAAATGCAGTGTGCCTGGTATTTTAATTAGCACTAGTAAGAAAATGTTTCGATTGTGAGGCTGAAACGTTTAACAGATGGTTAATTTGTCATGGAAAAGAAAAAAGTTACAAAAAGACTCGCAAAAAAGAGAGAACACAGTTTCACGTGATGCTTCTCATAAGCAAAATACAGGAAATATTTCGACTTGAGCTAGTCGAAATATCAATGCGTGGGTGCAATTATCAACAATATATGAAATTCACAAATAATGGAATAGATACCATAACAAACATATAAAAGTGGTGAACTCAATGTTTTATTTGGTTGTTATTATGTTATTTCATTACGAAATATAGTTTTTAAGTATGAAAATGCAGGCTATAAATGAAAGTGGAAGGTACAATCCATGAGGTGAAACCTAGTAAATCATGCCATCACTATTACTCAATAGAACGTCTTGAAGGAAAAACAATGAAGGCATTGACAAAGGTAAAATGAGGCTAGCTTGAAGGAAAAAACAATGAAGGCATTGACAAAGGAAAAGGGAGGATATCACCACCAAAATTGAGTCAGCTCGATTGTGTCGGAACCTATTACAACCTAAACCCCAATTCCTTTCTACTGGATCTTAGGTGCTAACCACGTGACAGGTTAGGAATGATGCTGTGTTAGCATGTTCTTATTATCTGGTAGGGAGAACATAGAACAGCGCTGAAATAAGGTAGCTGATCAAGCGAAAATCCAGGGATCAAAGAGTCTTCAGGTTTTCTGTATACATATTCTTGGGTGGGGTTGGGCATGTGTACACATTAAACCTACAAATATGTCACCAGAACCTAATGTCATATTTTATGGTTGTTATTTCACATTACAACCCCTTTAACCTATACACTCAGCTAAACCTTTAGCCAGTTAGAATTCAATAAATTTTGCATTTCAGTCTAGACATTCAGTATTTAAGGTCAAGTTTTAGCCATAGTCAGTTACTTTCATCTTTGACTAACCAGTGGTTATTTTCTTGCCTTTACAGTGTTGCTTAAGCACTTTTCATGCCTTGTTGAATTATGGAACCTCCAAGTTCTTCCAGTTAAGGAGCCATCAAGTTCCTGACAGATGTGAAAAACTTCTTCCTTCATAAAGCCACCATAACTAGAATATCCAAGCCTGATCTGACTTACATGGTGTCCAAGTCCATGGATGGAGATTATTTGCCTGCCACCAACCAAATTCAGATCATGAAGACATAACCGGAATGTTGTATCCTCATTTGTTCAAAATGAAGTAGGGCCTTTTTGAATTCAGTGACACATCATGAGAAGTTAGAGTCTACAAAAAAAGTGGAGGAAGATGAAGAAACCCCCAGAAACGCTGCATGGCTACCTCCTAAAGAAGTCAGTGTTAAATGGCCATAGGATGATAAAGGCATCAGTTAGTACCAATGAAATGGACAATGATATGTATAATTCAGTTGCTATATATTAAATCCTTGGTTGTGTTTCCCAAAGATGCCTTTAAATGCCATATTCATTGCAGTACATGTAAAAATAAAACTACCTAATCCTATAATATTCCAATAAGAATTTTTATGGAACCCTACAGGATGTCTTTAGAAACTGTAATAGGAAATTAGCTAAATTTCTAATAAAAATCACTAAGACTTTATATATACATATATTTTTTTTGTGTGTGAGGAACATGCAGCTATCAGCAAAATTAATTTAGTATTTATATATAATTTGTTTGTTTGTTTGTAATTAAGCATAAAGCTATACAATGGGTTGTCTGTACTCTGCCCACCATTGGTATTGAAACCCGGTTTCTAGCGTTGTAAGTCTGCAAACATACTGCTGTGCCACTGGGGTGGGGGGCAGCTGCTATACAATATTATAAATATGTGCAACGTTTTTTTTAGCATTTAGAAATGAAAAAAACCATGCCGAGTCAAACTTCATAAATTGGCTGGAAAAACATCAAAGCTGTATACAAGGTTCAGAAAACTTTATTATATATGAATAAGAAGCCCACAACAAATGGAAATCAAAAAAACACATTCAGGGGATGCTAATAGTCAGATACATGTGTGCTAGTCATTACTTTTAAACTCTGACAAGTTTGGGGAACTCTATATTAAATAACAAAACATTTAAATATATGATGTATTATTATAATTGTACATTTTGCTTTTCACATGCAGAGTTTTATTAAACTGTCAGTTCGATTTGAAATTAATCATTTTTTTACAGAAACACAAATCTTCACCCGACAAACATTGTTACTTCCCCCATCATAAATATTAGTGTGGAGTATTGTTTATAATTATTTATAGTGCTTAATTCCTACAAAAACAACATCGTTAAGTGCAATGTATTGTACACACCCACTCAGTGGTTTATTAATTGTAATTTAAAATTGGTGAAATTGTTAGTTCTTACACCCATGATTAATCTCGAGGTGTATACATCTCATTCTTCTCCATTTCAGAACACCATACTAACTTTATTTCAAACAACTGTACATTTCTGGCTGGCGTGAAAGATATTACTTTTTCACATTCTGCATCCAAAACTATCTCTATATGGTACCGATTACTAATTGAAAAAAAAGTCGACTATTATACTTCTAGACAACCAAGAAGAAAATGTTAAACTATACAAGCTTCCTAAAAACACAGTTTTCTCAGTAGCCTCGACTATCGTCAAATTCTTCTGCTTCTTTTCTATCGTATCTGTGATGTTTGGCTGGGGCCGGTATGTAGTACCATGCTTTGTAGTCTCCTCTTTGTTCCATCAGTTGGCGAACCTTCTTCTCAAGCAACCTAAGACGGAAAATATATGGATGAAGTTAAATGTGTGATAATGACGAATCATACAGTAAGCCTTTTAAGTTATAATCATTTGGTCTACACGCAAACTATCTGTTATAAGCCAACAAAAAGGCCCATACTAAAAAATAAAATCAAAAGTTTGGAGAGAAATTTACAGCAAAAAATTACTGTACTTTTGGAAATTAATCAATTAATCAATGTATTTCTCTATTAAGATTGACAAAATATTATTTATAACACATTCTTACAGCCTCTTCAATGCATGGTTGATTAAAATGAATGAATTTCTCATTTCTGGAAATGAATATTTGATTATTATCATAACCAGTAGTATGTTGAAAAATATGGCACCATATAGTGCCATCAGTCATACATGAAGAGGAAATTTGTAAGAATAACTGGAGAAAGGAAAATTATAACTGCCACACTAGTTTAAGTCTGCTTTTGAAATACAATATAAACTTAACACAATGGCTTGTCTAGCAATTCTACTATGGAAAGAAGAATAAGCATGCCATTCCATTCATGAAGATAATTTCTTTTCCACAAAATAACAAATACCATCTCATCTAAATGTAGCTTTTTTTAGTCTATCGGCATATGTCACTCTAAACCTTAATACCATCCAAACTCTCAGCATGTGTCACATTATCAAATAGGCTTTTCCACAAAATAACAATTCTAAGAAGAAAACAGTTTTGTCTGAGAACAAAGCTGGGTCAAGATTTATAAACGGAATCTTGACCCGTAATACAGTATAAAATTAAACTTCCAGTACAGCTTATACAAACAATAAATATGTTGTTAAGCTATCATCAAAATTTAGTAGCAAAAATGCATATGTCACTCTAAACCTTAATACCATCCAAACTCTCAGCATATCACAATATCAAATAGGCTTTTCCACAAAATAACTGAGAACAAAGCTGGGTCAAGATTTACAAACGGAATCTTGACCCGTAATACAGTATAAAATTAAACTTCCGGTACAGCTTATACAAACAATAAATATGTTGTTAAGCTATCATCAAAATTTAGTAACAAAAATGCATTTTTTTTTTTACGGTACCACTGAAACTTTTGGTAATAAAGGCAACTTGTTAAGGGACACTACATATATAAAGGTCTTGCACATTTCATTGTACAGATTTGGCTGATTAACACCACACATATTCATGAAATACCCAGTGATTTAACTGATAAGGTAGCCAAGATACGATATAATCCCTGGCTTTTATATTAATTCTTGTGTGTTTTAGTGCAACTCAAGTCCCAATTTCTAATTCTGAGCTTTATATACTAAAAATCCTGTAAATAATTTAACAAATGTCTATTGCTTGTCTGATACTAACCTGAGCTCAGCCTTTTCTTTTTCTTCATTTAAGAAATGCAGAGTTTTTTCATATTCCTGCTCAGGACTAGGATAAATATACCTTGCGAAAAACTGCTGGATTGGATGCTATGCATAATTAACATAAAAATAAGGTTATTTCTCTCTAGGTTCTTGTAAAAATAAACAGAAACAAATACAAAAAATTTAAAAAAAAAGCTCACAAGATTAGGATAGTGTTTCCTAAATCATTTTTCTCAATTCAAGCTGTGAACAATTTCCAACTTATGATAGTTGTTGTTTTCAACTTCAGTGAAACTAATGGAAGTCATGAAAAGTTTGTATAAAATTTCTTTAAGAAAAACCAAGCACAGTGTCATAAATGTGATGTAATAAAAAAAATGAGTGCTTGAAGCGATGCTGTAAGTACTTTCTGCTCTAATCTGTCCATAAAAGAGAGGTGTGATAAGACTACCCACACCAATACCTTCTATCTCATCAAAATGCATGTCGAAGTGTTGAAAATTAGTTGAGAGGTCAGGAATTTGAATAATTTAGCTTGGATATGACAGGGATCTGCCTTTTTTTGTAAGGATTCTAGATCAATGAAAGTTTCTTTAATTTTAGTTAATATACAATGAAGATGAAAGAAACCTTCTACAGCCACCTATCTGATAACACAGTAAACCTAGCATAGAAGTCAATGAAAGAAACCTTCTACAGCCACCTATCTGATAACACAGTAAACCTAGCATAGAAGTCAATAAAATCAAGATATCTCTCTTGAAAAATTAAAATAGTTGACTCAAGTTCTAACAGGTAAGACCCACTTAAGTTGATAATGCATCAGACTTTCTATCAAGAAGAACCAGGATGGAATCCAAGCCATTACCACCACAGAAATAATCTTTTCTCAGGACTTTCCTGAAGATGACAGCAGTTTAGCAGACAATTTGTTTGTTTTCACGCAAAGCTACACGAGGGCTATCTGCGCTAGCCGTCCCTAATTTAGCAGTGTAAGACTAGATGGATGGCAGCTAGTCATCACCACCCACTGCCAACTCTTGGGCTACTCTTTTACCAACAAATAGTGGGATTGACCATCACATATTATAACGCCCCCACGACTGAAAGGGTGAACAGGTTTGGTGGGACGGGGATTCGAACCAGTGACCGCCAGATTACGAGTCAAGCGCCCTAACCACCTGGCCATGCCGGGCCCCTTAGCAGACAAAACAAAAGATAAAAAATAATTAGTATCTAGTTACGAAAAAAAAAAAAGACTTAAGTACATAAAATGTATTATTTACTAATTAACAATCAAACTTATGTGATCATATATGCTCCTAACTATGACAATGACTGACATCTGACTGCCACAATCTAACTGTAAGAAATTAATGATTTTTCCTTACTTTCATTTTTAGTATATTCACAAAGAATTCATTAATTTTGAGTTAACTGACTAGCATTATTTTTTAAATAACTTGAAACAACTGCTTTATTCTTTACAAGGCTTAAAGTTTCTTTTTGAGTTGGACTAAAAAAAATTGCCTGCATGTTCACCAGTAAGTTAGAAATTTGATCAGCAAATTTTTAAATACATACAAATCGCCTTGACCCTTACTTGTGCCTCATCTTGTGTCTCTTTGTTATGTAGCTATGTTTTCTTTAGACAGAAAATATGTAACAACATTAAACAATTAAGTAAACAAAATAACACATTTTCTTTAAAATGTTTACATTCACGTAACTGACCATTCTCTTAAAGTTTAACAAAATAACCTTTTTTTTACAACCGATTCACCATATTAACATGGACGTAAATAATGAAAAAGTTCCACTTTGTTCATGAATATCTTTTAATTTTTATCATTATTAAATACATGCAACATCCACTGCATCCATCTTGTGCAAACTGGTGTTCTTGTTGTACACCCCTCTCAACATCGAGTTTAATGAGGAAGTTTTAAAGATTTAAAAACAAACAGAATTGGGAATTTTTTTATAGTTTCTGTAAATGTTCTCTTCATTTGTGAAAGTATTTATGTGTTAAATTATACTGCTTGAAAGCTACAGAAATTTTCTTTGATGAGAAGACATAAGCTCAATTAGATTTAGTGATTACATGATTGCAAAATATTCTGATGACTCAAGTCCTTATTCGTGGAATATTTTCATGTCTATCGTATTCAAACAACATGTATAAATAAATTAGCTAATTGGCTACTCAATTATTTCTAATTGAAATTATGATATAAGAAAGAAAATTATTACTATCATCAGATTATCTTTTGATCATATTATGTTATTATTTGTTCAACAACTCACAGATGATGTGTTTGTCTATTGGCGATATTGGAATTATTAAAAACTCCATAATAACACGAGGATAACGTGGAATTAGTCTTTTTTTCAATCTGTGGAAATATTAGGACATAAGATTTATAGAAATCAACAAAACAGTGACAAATTTCCTTGGGATGCTCAACAACTAATAAATTATTAATAGGTCAAGATATGAAATTTGATTAGTCTTATGAAGCAAAGAACTGTATGCAGTTCTGTGTATTGTCCAATCAGTGTGCAGAATTGCTGGATTCTGTGTAATGTCACAAGGAAGTTGTTTGTAATCCAGCAATGCCTGAACAATCGCTGTCAAAATAATATGTATTTGGGATTGATTATCAATAAATAGCTTATGCTTTTTTGTAGTAAATGCTTGTGTATTTCGTGACAGGTGAAGATCGCTGGTTATTTGAGGCTCTTGTTGTCTGCCTACTTGGAGCATTGCTTTACATGTAACCCAAACTTAATTTCATTAATTATATTAATTAATTCATTAATTATATGAACAATGACAACAAAAAACTATGGATATTGTTCTGAGTATCAATTTGAATTTTTAATTCTAGATGGATGTAAAATGATTTACTCTGTAATATTCCCAGTGCTTGGGTTCATAGCCTTCTGGTATTTCTGCCAGTTCAGCTGGACCAATGAATACATTCACACAAAAAACTAGCAGACCTAGAGGAATTACTCCCAAAAGGACGTAGAAATGTACAGCATCCTTAAATTTGTTCCACTGGAACCGAGAAGGATGGATGGGCATGTGTTTATTACCCGATGAATGTCGAAGTTGATCTGGAAGAAATAAACAACAACAAAAATCAAATTTTTGAAAACTCACTAATTCTACATAGCCATCATTAGAAATAAGCCTTATCATCATTGTTTGTGCCAGAATTTAATTTTTTTGAGTCTCAGAGATACAACCCTTATATTTCTGAACAAAATGTCAGAATTTTTAATTTTCTCATTTATTACTAACTGTAATAATATTTAAAAATTTTCTACATTGCATTGGTTTATCCATTATGTTTTGTTTGCTTTTCCTGCCAATAGGCTCCTCGACAGATAGAAGATGATTGTGAACTCAATGGCAATGCAGCCCAAGGAAACCAGATTGACAGAACACAACAAAAAACCGTCCCACGTTTTTCACCATTGCAGCTCAAAAAACCATAGTATATCTATTAGAAACACAGTCATTTTAAACA